CAAAAGCCTATCCTTCAGTGTTTCTAACTGCTCCAAAAAGAGGAAGAACATGATAATAAAGATATTGAAGAGCAGGATAGTAATGATTATTAACTTGCTTTAAGGAGGGCTTGCTGTAGTACAGCATTGACCAATGTGTTCTATACATCTGGTTTCATTTTATGTGCTTTGTATTTCTGAAACTGAAAGTGTGCCCATTATTACTGCTTAAAGAAAATGGAAAGGACTGTCATTTTAATGCACTCTGCAGTAAGATTTTAAGTAGAAAAAAATGCCACACTTGAACTGGGCTGTATGATTCTAGACACACGGCTCCCACGAAGTGTAATCCAAACAGCAGGTCATTTCCAAGTCACTCCAGGAAGAGACCCTTGCTCACTTCACTCTTCCTTTTTATGGGTTCCTGATAAATCGCAGAGCATTGCGTGGCACCTGCTACATCCACCAGAGGATGGACAGGTACAGATCACAGGCAAAGATCATAGAGGGTACACTTGACAATTCAGATTATATTCACCAAAGCTCAAATGTGTGCTATCACACAATCCCCCTTTTATTTCCACTTATGATCAGAATTAAAAATGTAACTCAGATGCCCCTGTGGTTAAAACCTCTGAACAACTGCTTGAATATTGTTGTGGGTTAGGAGACAATGAAAAATTTAGAGCACTGGAAAGTATTTGACAATTTAATTTTTAATTCTTTCATGTCTAGTTCTTGTTTCTATGGAGCAGCAATCATTTTTAAATTTTGTGAGGTAGTACAGTCATTAGTGTTGATTTCTAGTCACAACAAATGCACAAAATATTATGCAGATATGGTACATTCAAATATGGGTTTTATGTACATAAAATTACAGCAAAACACAAAATTAGTTTTCATTATAATTAATTGTAAGAATAATCTTTATACCAACAATGTCCTGTGAACTAAGGTACTCTTTTCCTATTTCTTTAGCAGGACATTTTACTTTTCACTTTGTGTATTCATATGCAAATGTTTGGAGAAGAATTATATGTAGTACTTAAAATCTTTACTGATTCCACAGACCTGATGACTTGTTTGGCAAGAAGAGGGGTGCAAAATAAAAATGTCTGTTAATCATTGAATTGTCACCTCCTCAGGTTGTAATGCCGGTCCTTATTCAGCATGATGTGAAGATTCTTGACATGTTCCTGTCTTCACGTTTGTACTTTTCACAAATGCTCTATAGGTATGGAGACCAAATCATAGCTATCTTCATCTCTGTCATGTTCATGTGGTCCTGGCAATCCATTTTTTTGTCTGTACATCCATTATTCAAAAACACATCATAAATACTCATTATAGGTTTAAAAAGGCACAAAAGCAAGGGAGCAAGTGAATGTATGCCTCACTCTAAGATTTATCAGACAACTTCACCTCACTTCAGGCTCTGGTGCTATTTCAATGCAGTTACTGTATTCATCAGCAAATGTCCTACTGACACAATGGTGCAATTCTTTATTTTAAAACAAAAACTTATAATGGCTGCCTAATTTTATTCCAAACTTGCTTTAGTTGCCACACACATGATGATGAGTGTTGCCCTCATTTTTCTTAAGTGGTGGGAACACGGAGAGGAGATTCACATGCACTGTGTCTTTTTGAAATTTTTTTTCTTTTTATTGAGTTTATTGGTACAATATAGTTATACAATACAGTTACATTCATTATTGGGATCCTGCACCTTTACATGATAGGTCTTGATTCTCATTTTTCCCCTTGTCCCTGCCCTCCCTTCACCCCCACCTTCCCTCCCCACTTATAAACACTTTATTTCCATTTTTTCATTTTCTCATATTTTTCCCCTCCCTTGTTACCTTTCCCCCACCCGTCCCACTTTCCCTACACCTTTAGCCCTTTATTTCCTATTTCACATTATTAATTATCTCATTAGGATCTTGTGTACTACTATAGTTTTTCACACCAGAGAAACTATTCTGTATTTCAGTTAAATAAACCTGTGTATGAACATTAAAAATACGGACTCCTAATATAAAACTGAAAAGGAAAGTAAAAGAGAAAAGGCAATGATGTAAAATTAAAATAATACTTAATTCTAAAGATGAAAATGGTCCCTGAACATATTTAAATTGTTGCTCCTGTAGTCTTATGTTATTCTCTTTTTTTCCATTATGTAGAGAATACTTTATTAGTTTCTGTAATCAAACCCACGTAGATATGGTTTTACATATTTAATACAGTGCATTACCCCTGTACAAATGGAAAAGAAAATTAACATTTCTAGACCAATAGGGCTGTTAATTTCTGTACAATATATATATATATGTGTGTGTGTGTGTGTGTGTGTGTGTGTGTGTGTGTGTGTATATATATATATATAGAGAGAGAGAGAGAGAGAGAGAGAGAGAGAGACCAATAATAGCAGTATGCTATGCATCAGTAGAAGCAACAGCTTGGGCCGGGGATTTGGCTCACAGTTCGGTGGCCTGCCTCACCAGCGCAAGGACCCAAGTTCAATCCCCAGTACCAATAAATAAATAGAATAGAATAGAATACCAGCAACAGCTTTTCCAGGTTTTGTAGTCATCTGAACCAAATTATAGACATTCAGCACACTCCATTAAACAAACAAACAAACAAAAAACAAAGAAAAGAAGAATATCCAGGAAACAGCAAATTCTTTTGCTGTTTTGGTACCTGGCACCTTTTTTTTTTTTTGTTAGCATCTTAGTTATCATCTGGAAAGAGAACATTCTAGGGTAACATCATTAATAAAGCATGGTCACTGCTACGTATCATAAAGCAGGTACAAGATATTTTGCATTCACAGAGGTATGATCCAGTACCGTCCTACATCTATAATACTAGAATCAGTTTTGGTTTTGTGCCTTTTGCAGCAGGTAAATGACGGGGACTAAACTGTTTATTTCCCAAGGTCCATTCCAAGACAGAGTCTCGTTTACTGCAGAAAAATGGATCTGTTATTTCTCTAAGATGATGAAATGCCTTTGTGTATTTCCTACAGAGTCAATTACTAGACAGACTCCAGGGATACTTTGAAGTTTTACCTGAAGAACAAGAGATTATAAGTTATTAAGCCTGACTATTTCTGGAAATGATAGTACAATTATTCATGTATTACTCATTTGAAGTCAAAGTAATTCCCACAAATATATTATACTGCATACACATCTTGACTTGTTTGACAGGAAAAGAGATAGAAGAATTCTAAACAGATTGTCATAATAATAAACTTACTATTTATATGATGTGTCATGGTTTTCATTGGTTAATAAATAATAAAATCCTATTGTGTGTGAAAGATTCTCTATTTCAGAGGCAATCAGCTTTGTGTTGTACACAATTTATATGAGCTTTGGATATTTTAGGAAATTTTTGAAAAAAAAGGTGGATTCATAATTCAATATTCACCTGAAAATTTTGACAAGAAAATCTATTTATGCAATTCATGACAACAAATTACTCTGAGCATAGGTGTGTAAGAGAATTACCAACTATTCAAATTCCATAGGTAATGGTTCAAATCTCTAAATATACTAGTTGTGGAGGCAACATTAATGTATCTTTAAATGCAATCATATAGAGCAGTAATATTAATGTAGCATTTTCTGAATATCAGCAATATTCTAAAACAGTAGACCTCAACTCTCGGGTAAAAAGAAACCAAAAAAAAAACTTCAAAATATAGGTAATCTGATTAAATTTATTGGTCTTAATCTAGAATATCTGGATATTTAAACATATCTCCAGGAATACAGATTAAAATTAAATATTTTAAAATACTTTTTTACACCAAGTATATAAGTTAAGTGATTGTTATCCACATTTTACAGATAAGAGGAAATTGCATTATTTACAGTATTTCATGTACGTTTTCTTTCTTAGGTGAGTTTCAGGTGTGTTAGCATTACTTCATGTACCTCTATTTGGTTTTTTTTTTCCCCACAAATGAATTATCATTTGTGGCCTGACAAAGCAAAGTGTGGAATTTTCTTTCAGGTAACCATATGAAGAAAAATCAAAATCATATATCATGAAAGATTGATAGGACAACTCTGGCAGCTACAATTAGCCAGGTTTGAAGTTAGCCTGAGCTTTGGAGTTTTTCTTGTTTCTAATTGTACCATTGGTCATAAGAGATTTTATGACTAGAAAAACAATTAAGCTTATTAGCATTCTCTTATAGGAAATATGATTTAAAAAGGGTAAAATACTGTCATACAAGGGTAGTGAAATTGTATAAAGCGATTATAATAAATCTGTCCAAATTTTAAAATTTCAGATATGCTTCTTATAGTTTACTCTTTTTAATCATTGACAAGTACAGTATGAACTGTCACATCCATAATTATTATGTCACAAATTATACACATGCATTTGAACTTGCTTACTCTAATTTGAGTTCACCATGGATGAAGATAGGAGCAACATATTAAATAATTTATAAACAACAAAGACTTCAGGAGCTCTGACATCATTGAAAGATGAAAATCAGAAAACCAAAAAAGTGTTGAAAAATTCCTGGGAGATAACTGACTCAATGATATGTACTTTGCTTATTAACAATTAACTTTAGGGCTCAGATAATGCAAACCTAGATATTACAGTAATTACAGACAACTTATGTAAATAATTTGTACTATTTTTAAGGATAAAGTATATTTGAATGCATTTTAATTTTATTTAATAGGATAATCTATTCATTATTTAGTTAGGAATATTTTACTGGGATGTAGAATTACTAATTCTCATGTTCTAACTTTGTAAACTAGAATGCAGAGTAGGATGAATACAATAAGGTGATAATAAATAATCTAATATTGAAAGAGTTCTGAGAATAGGGTTTTCACAGTAAAGCAATATTGCTAAAGGTTTTAGACACCACGTTGAAATAATTTGCTTGTGAAACTATGAATTTATCATATTTAGATAATCTTTTGTGCTATATTTATTGCTTTCATTTTTTCTAATGAATTTTTTAAAGGTATTCAAGCATTATGGAAACACATAATTTAACCTTTATCTCAGAATTCCATCTCACTGGTTTCTCAGAGGACCCAGAACTGCAGCCCATCCTCTTTGGACTGTTCCTGTCCATATACCTGGTCACAGTGCTCGGGAACCTGCTCATCATCCTGGCTGTCATCTCTGACTCCCACCTCCACACACCCATGTACTTCTTTCTCTCCAACCTGTCTATTGTTGACATCTGTTTCATCTCCACCACAGTCCCAAAGATGATTGTGGACATCATAACTCAGACCAGAATCATCTCTTATATGGGATGCCTGACACAGATGTCTCTTTTTATCATATTTATATGCATGGATGACATGCTTCTGACTGTGATGGCCTATGACCGGTTTGTGGCCATCTGCCATCCCCTGCACTATGCAGTCATTATGAATCCTCGCCTCTGTGTCTGGTTACTTTTGCTTTCTGTCTTTATCAGCCTTTTTGATTCCCAGCTACACAACTTAATTGCCTTACAATTTACCTGCTTCAGGGATGTAAAAATTGCTAATTTCTTCTGTCATCCTTCTCAAGTCTTTAGCCTTTCATGTTCTGACGCTTTAATCAAAACTATGGTCACATATTTTGTTGGTGCCATATTTGGCTTATTTCCCATGTTAGGGATTCTTTTCTCTTACTATAAAATTGTTTCTTCCATTCTCAAAATGCCATCATCTAGTGGGAGGTACAAGGCCTTTTCTACATGTAGTTCTCATCTGTCAATTGTTTGCTTATTTTATGGGACAGGAACTGGGACTTACATTGGTTCAGCTGTGTCATATTCTCCCAGCAAGGGAATGGTGGCTTCATTGATGTACACTGCGGTCACCCCTATGCTGAATCCCTTCATCTACAGTCTGAGGAACAGGGACATCAGCAACACCCTAAAGAGGCTCCACAGTTGGAGAGTTTAATCCCAGGACATTTGGCATTCATTTGGAGTGTAGATTTCAAAATATAGAGAAATTATACACCCCAAGTTCACCTAGAAATACTGACTCTTCAGTCACATTAGTTCAGATGCTTGGTGTTTCATATTAGAGTCATAACTGATAGGGTGATGGCAGAATTTAGGTTGTTTATATGCCTACAAAGCTTAAGGATATATGTAGTTGTTTATATGTAACAATAATGAACATTGTACATAAAATTTTTTGTGGGGAAACAATCTTTGCCAACTACTTTTCCAATGCAAGATTAATATCCAGGATATTTACAGAACAAAAAAAAACTTACAAAAATACTCACAATCAAATAATGCAGTCAGTAAATGGACAGATGAATGGACCAGACAGTTCTCAAAAGAAGTACAAGTGAACAGCAAGTATACAAAAAATGTTCAATATCTTTATCCATGAGGGAAATGCAAATCAAAATCATAATCAGATTCCATTCCATACCAGTGATAATTGCTACCATGAAAAAGACAAAAACAATAAATGCTGGTGAGAATACAGGGAAAAAAGAAATTCTCATTTGCTAGTGACAATGTAGATTAGTACAACCACTATGGAAATGAATGTGCAGGTTCATCAAAAAACAAAACGTAGAGCTCCTTGCTGATGTAGCTATACCACTCCGGTACATTCCCCAAAGAATCAGTCAGCCTACTATAGAGATGCCTGCATAACCACAGTTATTGCAATCCGTTTCATAATAGCTAACTTATGGAATCACCATAGTTATTTGTCAGCAGATAAATGAATTTTAAATTGTGGCAAGTATGCACAATGGAATATTATTCAGCTATTAAAAGAAATAAAATTTTGTCATTTACGGGAAAATTGAGTAGAAAGGAGATTACCACAAAAGAGGAAGGGGGCAGGGGAAGGAAAAAAGGGAAGCACAAGGTGGGTGGACTAGGGTGAAATAGATTTAAGTATATTATATACATATAAATCTGCCAGAAAGAAACTCCTTAATCTTTATGACTAATGTGTTCTAATGAAAAGGAGACAGGACATAGAAATAGAAGGGAGACTGTTATGAGGAAGGGAATAAGGAGGAAGAGGAGGAAGGGGAGGGCAAGGGATGAAAATGGTCACTCTACGTTCTATATAACCAATATAACTAACAAAAACCTATTTGGATCTAGCAATAAATAAATGGAACAGAACCAAGTATCTAGAGAAAGAACTAAAACATATGGTCATTTAGCATGTAATGCTGACTGGAAATACATATAAGTTAGAAAAAGATATATACTAAATTTATTAGTACCAGAAAAAGTAAGATGGATTTTTTTACCTGATGTCTTAAAACAAAATAAATTCTGGTTGTATCAAAGTTTTAAATATAAAACAAAATCATTAAGATAACAGACATATTCAGAGTTGCAACAAAATTAAGATATGTTGTGTGTACATGTATCAATTCTCCACAAGGCAAGTAAACATAGGTATTATAAAATTTACTAATAAAAATAATAATAAAGATTATATATTGTGTTTATTTTATTTTTAATTCCATATGAGGCCTTAGTGTACTTGTGAACATCTTGTTTTACTGACTGTTACGTGTGAACCTCAAGTATGTTTTTGTGTACAGCTATAGTTCATTGATTTTCATTGTTTTATGTCATTCTTGGGTGTAAGTATACTGCTTTTGCTTACCTATCTCTATCTCACTTCTTTAATTTTGTTGAATATTTGGGGTTTTTCACTCAGAAATAAAATTTTGAGGAGTTTTTTTTCTTTAGATGGGTTCTTATTGTATTTTCACCCCAGCTTTTAACTCACTATGTACCCAGAACTTGCCTTGAGCTCATGATGGTCCTCCTGCCTCAGACATCCAAGTACTGTTATTACAGGGTGCTGCCTCACTTCCAATCATGAACATAAATTTTTTTGTAAAGAATAAATTAGCAAATAGTACCCTTGGAATTTCTTCTGAGTAAAAGAACCCCGTGTATTTTATGGACATTCATGTACTCACTCTTTTTTAATCAACTTCCATTCAATTTTTGAAGTTTGAGATTGCAGCAAAGTGATTCAATTTAGGTAATAATTAACAGTGTTCATTGAGCCTCTAAAGTTATAAAACAGTCCATACTCATGTATTCCTCTATTCTTTCATTTTGGTTGTTCCATTCCAGTAGTCACCATTGCTACATAGCCTCATAGTTTTCTGAAATAGAAATCCCATATCTGACATGATTGATTCTCTGAGTGGACTTAGAGCTCTCTCTGTTTTTCAGACAGGTGAGTGGTATTGGAGTCATTGTTTTGGGCAGAGCCACATAGAGCCACAGAATTACTCAGTAAGTGTTGAGGGAGACAACTGATGGAGAAAGGAATATTGTAACCATTGTTTCCCATCGTGAACACATACACGACTCTTTATTGTGAGAAAGAATTGTTGGATTGTCTACAACAGCGTTTCAGTTGTTTTTCTTTTCTTTATTCCCACAGTGATCCCATTCCCCATAGATATCTAATCTATGACTTTATATTTTTCTGTCCATAAAATTTTTAGTAAGCACCTCAAACGGATTATGAGTAATGATGAAGATTATCACGACGTTGTGAACCAATACTGAGAGATTTCTGAATGGCATCATCCAACTTCTGTGTTCTTTTAAATTGTTTTATTTTATCTTTAAATGTTTCTCAAAGATAAGCTCTCACATTGTTTTATTTAAAAGTAATAAAAAAAGACGTACAGTATTTTTCTGTAATCAATTAGTGGGTGTTGTGTGGAAAAGAGGGAAGATGTGCTTACATAAGGGCCATTTGATAGTACACAAAGAACATCTTGCCAGACAAATCCTGCAAATGGTTCCTTTGACAATCCAAGCACCCATCTCTGTTCCCTGTCTCTTCAGGAAGGGAGCCCATTTCTCAGTATGCTCTATTATTTGGAATTCCAAGTAGATGGCAGGAGAGAAGAGAAGTGACACCTTCTGCTTCCACTGTAGGTGCGTTTCTGAGATGGGAGGCAAAGATCAAAGATAGGGAAGGTCCACAATTAGTAGAAACAACCTCCTTCCTATTTTGAACTCCACACTTTTCTAGAAGCTGTCCACGTGCTCTTCCAATCTTTTATTAATTCTTCTCAAACTCAAGAAGAGAAATCAATTCACGGTTCAATTTCAATCCTTCTCAGGATACTGGAAATAGTTTAACATTCCTCAGACAAAAGTGTGATGTAGACCTCTGAACCTCTGCTTGAAATATTCTGCTGGTTTGGAAACATACACACACAAAAGTTTTGTTGATTAAGCACAAATTTAATTTTGAATTTTCTCCATACTTTATTTCTTTAACATATGGCAAGTTCGTTGTATCTCTGAGACTCAGCATTGTCATAAAAAGTTTATTTCTATTTCATACAATTGTAATGAGTATCGGTTAAATAGATAATAAATGGTCCTCCTGTTATTAATTGTTGCTACATGTTTAATACGAGCTTATATCCAAGTTAGTTGTTATTAATAAAACTAATGACAAAAAACTCAATTTCATGCCACTCAACGTGGCTGAGATCTGCAGTTGTTTTCATTTTTCTATATGGGCCTCTTTTTGATATTTTTTATCATGGTATGTGTGTATTCGAAAAAGATGGACTTTCATTCATTTCTGACTCCTCACAACCTATCTCATTACTGATACCCAAGATGAATTAAAAGTAAGAATCTCTATTAAACCTAGGTTAGACCTTTACTGGGCTAACAATAATTGAACATAATCACTGTAGCTACTAAAGATTGATACTTTGCTACATGCATTTTAATCTCTGTTAGGAATATCAGATGGAGCTAGAGGCGAGGTAAAAAATCTTGTCTGGATCTGCATTATGGATATGTGGTGTTTGTATCTTCAATTATCTAAGGCTACAACATTAAATTATTTAGATACCATGACAAAATTCTTTCTGGGTGTAAAACTAAAATATCCATAAAGAGAAAAGGGTAATAGGGAGGTGAGGAATATTTTAACATTTTGTTTCATGTTACACCTCAGGGCATGTTCACATCTTTACTGAGTAATATACATTCTACTTGTAATGAAGACACAGTATTTTATTTGAAAAAAATAGTAACAAAATATTTAAATTCTACATATTCCTTAAGTACACTAATGCTGTAGAGCTATAGACATCAAGCCTAAGAGCAGAGAAGGCTGAATGAATTTACACTGTACATTTAGTAACAGGTAAATGCTATATGTCTAATATATTAATTTCCTGACTCTCATTCCAGGGTCCTGTTTTCTCTAGTGCATCTAAGTGGAAATATTTCCTATGCAAGATGATATATCTTGATCAGTAGTCATGCGGGGATAATTACTAGACAAACCTCAGGGATTTTTTTTTCTTTTATATTGTAAGATTAATACATTGGTAATTATTAAGAAAAATATAGGTGATAGTAAAATTGTATATACCCCAGTTGTCAGATTCAAGCACACATCCTGCACCCATGTATTATCTGGTAATTTTCTCTTGCATGATATGATGAGAGACATAAGAATTCTTTTTAAAATTGTCATAAAATGAAAAAACAATTTAGATCACATCCTTTTATGTTGTACTGAAGTGTATCAGTTATAACATTTAAAGTGGCTGTGTGTACTTAACAAAGAGACTTAAATATACACATGAATGTAAACTACTATAATTCAGGGGAATAGCTATTATGTACTTACTATTTAGAAGATCATTAGGTAGCTAACGTAAATTACTAAGAAATCATTTCTTATCAATAATTTGTATTAAGTATATTTTAAGTGTTAAGTTAAACATTATGTCAATTTGAGCAAAAATATGCTCAACTTTAGCTTAGCCTAGCTCTTGCTGTGACTGAATGGATTGACTGAAAAGAAAAGACCGACCCTGGGTGTGAGTGGTAATATTCCATAGCCTGATTGGAATAAAAATAGGGAGAAAGATGGAAGACTCTATTTTTTGGAGGAGT